TATATATATATATATATATATATATATATATATATATATATATACTTTTGATTAATTTAAAGTTAAATACATGTATCATAAAGTTAAATAATAAAATTTGAGATACACATATATGTTTACATATATTAAATAAAAATGTATGATTAATTATGATTAAGTTTAAATACAAACAATTTTAATAATAGATTTTCTTGTAACATCATAAATAAAGCAAGTATTAATTTAATCGCTAATCTAGCAAGACAAATTTGATCTGAACCCAGTCGATATGTATGAATCTTGCAGAGCCCGATTCGACGCTAATTGGAATCCATTTGAGTCAAATTTGGTGAAATTGGCTCAGTCTAATTTCAATTTGAATCTAAACCGTTTTTCTAATTAATTTGAATGTCCTATCTAAATCAGGAAATTAAATTCAGGGATCCGGATCGCATTGAAATTTAAACTCTGAGTTCCTGTAGCCTGCAGTCGCGTGAGGTGAGCTCTCCAGTTTTTTTAGGGCTCTCACAAGAGATTTGGTCTTCATGCTTCCTCTCAGTTTCTCAAGTATGGAGAAGCAATCGTTGGCCTCCTCTCTCCCAGTCACAGGCCACTCGCATCTCTCGCAAGAGCTTGCTAGCCTCCCCTTCTCTCAACACCGACTGACGCTGGCTCAATCCCCCTCAGAACCGTGAGGCTGGGCAGCAGGATTCGGACATGGAGCCGCTCGAGCAGGAGCTGCTAGGCGACCATTTTGCTTAGGTTCGTCTCTCCCATCCAGCCATTCCGTTTGGGGATGTGACTCCGATTTAGATTGACAACTCTGAAATGAATATTATTATCTGCAATCATTTATTTTTTTGATCTCGTTGATATATTCTGTTGCTAAGGTTTTCACCTCTCATATGGATATTGCGGGAGCCTTGATTGACCATTTTAAAGCTATTTTTAATGCCCCTAGTCCAGTACATGAGAACTCTTACTCCATTCCTGTGGTCAACATGGTTCCTTCTCATCTCCTTGATTCATTGGTTGCTCCGGTCACCAATCAGAAAATCAAGGTTGTTGTTTTAGCTGGTGTTTCTTCTTCTGCCCCGGGCCCGGTTGATTTTTCCTTTGGATTTTATCAACATACTTGACACATTATTGGGTTTCAATTATGCAATGATGTGAAGTACTTTTTCTCTTATGGCCACATGCCTAAAGGTGCAAAAGCTACTGCCATCACCCTCATCCCCAAGGGAACCCACTCCTCAAGTATTTTTAGATTTCAAGCTTATTTCTTTATGCAATGTTTTTTACAAGGTTGCGGCCAAGATTATTGCCAACAGGTTGAAACTGTCCTACCTTCCATCATTCATGAAAGTCAATTTGGCTTCATTGCTAATAGATGTTCCACGGACAATATTATCCTGGCCTCTGAATTGCTCAAAGTCTTTAAAGGCTCCCATAAGCTTTTTTGTGCCGAGCTGGATATAAAAAAATCCTTTGATTCTGTCTCTCGTGTTTTTCTGCTGAGCATATTAAGACAATAGGGTTTTCTATACAATTTTATTAAATAAATTAGGGGTTGCATTTCCGAGGTGCACTTCTCTATTTGCCTTAATGACTCCTTGGAAAGTTTTTTTAATTAATCTTCAAGGCTTTGTCAGGGATGCCCTTTATCCCCTTTGCTTTTCTGCATTGTCATGGATGGATTGTCCTCTTGCCTGCACTACCAAAATCAACCTACTTTTATGGGGCTTCATCACAAAAACTTCTGTCTCACGCATCTCATGCATGTAGATGACCTTTTTGTATTTGATGTTGCTTCTTTGGAAAATGTGGAATGCTTGAAGAACTCCCTCCAACAATTTTCGGAAGGCTCTGGTCTTCATATTAATTTGGTTAAAAGCTCCATTCGATGTTCTAAAAATGTGACAATGCTAACCAGATTGCTACCTCTCTTGGAATCTCTCATATTGAGGATTCTCTTATCCACCTTGGTCTATCTATTGCTTTTAAAAGGCTAAATTTCACTCACTTCCAACCCTTAATGAGTAGAATTTCTGCTCTATTTAAGGGTTGGAAAGTTAAGTTTCTCTTTTTTGCAGGTAGAATGCAATTTTTGAAATTAACTATTGCCAATACCCTTGCCTATTGGATTAGGGGAGCTATCATTCCTAAAACTTGCTGAAAACTCATTTCTAAGCTGTGCTCAAAATTCTTATTTTTTGGCAACATTAAAGATAAGAAAATGCATCTCATCTCTTGGCATTCAGTGACTAAGCCAAAAAACGAAGGAGGTTTGGGGATTCCTTCATTTGATTCTTTTTATCATAGTGTGGCTTTCTCTCTCATTTGGAGCATGTACAATCTCAATACTGTGTTGGGTTCTTGGTTCAGGAAAAATTTTGAATCCCCTTGGAAACCGCCACCATCTTTGGCCTCCAAATTTTGGAAGTTCATATGCCATACGTCCCAAGCTATTAAGAATTCTATTAGTCTTACGGTAGCCCCTATTTGCAACTTTTTCATGTTTTGGGATCCTTGGTTCATTGGTGATATTTTATCTAATACTTTCAGCTCCAGTAGACTTTCCTTTGTTGTGTTCAGAATTTTATCTCTAATGGGCATTTGGCGCCTCCGGATTTCTTGCCTGATGGTATGAAGTCCACTATTTTAAGCATTCACATTGGGGAGCAACCAGTTTCGACTTGGAATGGCTCCTCTAATCCCTCATTCAAGAAGTTTACTTTACAATTTTATTCCCATTTGGATGATGTGAGTTAGTTTAAATTTATTTTTGCATAAGAAGCATGCTCTTCGATTTGTCTGTTATACTTGGATGGCGGTTCAGGGAGCTTAAATGCGCAGATATTTTTATTTATAGGGGGATCTCAGCCTCCCCCTCCTGTTCCTTGTGCATTGGTAATCATGAATCTCATTCCCGTTTATTTTTTGAATGCGACTTCTCCTTCTCGGATCTCACAAGTTTGCTCCCTGGGCTTGGCAGTTTCTATCTTAGGCCAAATCTATTGCAAACATATGACTTCTTGAGCAACAATCTACAGTTTAACCGTGTGGAGAAAATTTTCATTTTTTTTCACTATATCTGTTGTGGTTTACTTTCTTTGGAGGGAACATAACAAGAGGAGGTTTTCCAATTCCTGGGATAGCTCATCTGCCATTAAAGCTATTATCATTAATGCTATTCGTGCTAAAACAAAAAACTGGAAGACTAGAGAGCAGCTTGCTCGCCAGCTTTTGGAAATTTTGGGTTAATAATGATTTTCTTGGTTTTGGCTGGTTTGGTTTCTTGATATGGCCTTCTTTGGGCGTGTTGTCGCAGATTATTCCTGAAACTTTGTTATCTCTGGCCTTTTTTGACTTACTGTTTATCTCGGTTAAGCCTGGGAATTTTATTTTCTGGAGGTCTATGCAAGCGTAGAAATTATTCTGTACGCAGTCCGAACGCAGGGATAGGTTCGGATGCTGCGTATTTACTGCTTATTTGTTGCGTATTTTTGTGTATTTAATTTTTTCTATGTATTTTTTGCGTATTTATTGTGTATTTAGTGAGTATTATTTATTTGTTATTTTTTGGCACAAAAAAATTTTGTATAAAAAAATATGCAACAAATAAGCAGTAAATAAGCAGCATCCGAACGCGTTCGGATTACGTACAGAATAATTTCTCGTCTGGATGGGCCCTACAGTTTTGTTCTTTTGGTTGCAGGCTTCGGTATAATTGGTTGCTCTTTTATGGATGACCTTTCTTATGGTTTTTATCCAATCTACGTTTGGTTGGGGTTTGGTGTTTTAACGGACAATGATGAGCAAAGGTCTATACCAACCATTTTCCTTGGAGGGTCGTTTGGTAACCAAGGAGTTTTGTTATTATGGTGTTTTGGAATTTTTGTGGACGCTGTGATGGTCTTGTTGCCATTCTTTTTTGGCCTGTGGCAGCCAGTGTTCTTACGACTGCTGGGTGCTTTCTTTATTCATCATGATCGGTGCAGTGATGTCTGTATGGTGTAGACCTTATTTTCCTGAATCCGACCTTCTTTTGCTACTTCCTTTTTTGTAAACTGGGGGTATAGAAGTTTTACTTGTATTCTATGTTTTAACTACCTTGCAACTTTTTTTTTATTCAATATATGGGCTGATGCCCCTAATTTTCCCAAAAAAAAAAAAAAAAAAAATCTTTAGTTTACTTTTCTGGACATATTGTTGTTTTGTCTGTTATGATAAAAAAAATCTGCTTGAGAACAAAATGGTTATTCCTCCAATACCTTTGGCCATGATCATTTTTACACCTGCAATGCATTTTTGGCAATACTATATTAGTATATATATATATATTTTTATTTATGGCTACAGGACATGAAATCTTGTTATTGCCCGAGATATTGTATCATGGTTGCAAAATAAAGTACAATGTCTAGTAACTAAAAGACAATTTAACATCATAACTATCACAGTGATGTTGTTGGGGATAATTATCATACACTTGTATTAAAGTTTAATTGAATAGTATATACATATTCATACCTTTTTTTATATATATACTCAACTACCATTAGTTCCTTATTAAAACATCTCTTTTGTATTTGAATGTATGATACTTTACTAATTAAAACTTACAAAAAAATTTGATTTTATAAAAAAATGCGTAGTATAAGAAGAGTATGCCGTTAGGACCTTGTAGAAACTTCTATTCTTAGGTTATTTTCATTTCTTATTTACTATAGATCCTATATAAACTCATTTACACGCGTATATGTCCAAAGGGTTAAAAATAACATCTTTCTTCCATACAACACTAGTGACATCTAAGGACAAAAATTAAGTACCGAGTCTTAAAAAATTTAGACTTAGTATACATGCTCCGTTTAGAATATAAATATAAA